ACGGGGTAGATGTGAGTTTTTTTTAAATAACCTAAAAATAAATATGTTTCATTGTAATAAATGTATTTTAAAGATAACAATAATAATGTCTAGTCCGCAATCGGCCACTTGAAAGACAAAAATGTTTTAAATATCAAACTTAGATGACGACAATCTTATTTGCCATATAAAGTTATCATAATCGTAAAATATAATATGACAATAAAATCTAACGAGCATTTCAATTGAACACGAAATCCATACGGAAACTAAATCGATTGGACATTAAGGACGACATACGCGTTGCTCTGTCCAATACGGGTTCTAGATTTCAAGGCAATATTGCAAACAAAACAATAGCAAATGTCACATTGAGACTTATTTTTAAACATAAGAAAACTTGGCTATTCAAAACAGTTTAATATATAGTCTTAAAGTTATCGTTAAAAAATAATAATAATAAAAATTATATTTATTTTTTTTTATGGGGGGGTTCCGTGATATTTTATACTTCAAATGGGGTCCATGGCCTACAAAAAGTTAAGAATCTATGATATAAAGTAATATGTCTTTTAGCATATTCATAGTAATGTTGTAATGTTTTTGCTATCGTTTTAGTAAAAAGTTTAATAAAATATTTTATCATCATACACTCATATAAATTAGATAGATCTCTTCGATAAATTAAATACACTTTATATTAAAACGTGATATATACTATTTTATCAATGCATCGAGGTTAAATAAATTATTGGCGTTCTATAGAATTGTATTGGTTTACATTCTGCCTTAATGGTTCTTTTGATTGCAGTAAAACCAGAAAAGAAGATATCTTTATAGATTTGAATGAATAAGATTTATTATTTTAGTTCATATAATTTCATTTGAAAATTAATAATATTTTACTCTCTAAAAATAACAATAACACTCGGGAATAATACGGTCAAAAGTTTTAAGAATTAAAAAAAAGTTAAAAAAATCCCTCAACTTTTTTTAAAGGATAAAACTTTGCAATCTTACAATTATCTTGTTTTTTTTTCTTAATTATATTATATAATTTATGTGAAGCGTAAAAAAACTTTAATTCCAAATATATAGACGAGCACGCGGAGGTTTTGAATCAAAAATTAATAATTCACACTGTGTCTGTTCGCATCAACTGTGGACGATAAAAAAAAATACAATTATTTTTCGATAAAATTTATATATATTATAGATATAAATCAAAAATGATTGTACAATGATGTATTAAATATTATATACCTAGTGTATATAACAAATATGTATGATCTTTGTGTTCGTAAGTGAAAACTTATTGCGTGAGCAAAAGAAACACGATCCGAAAAATCGACCAGAGAAAAATTTCTTTATCTTATTAATATTTTACTATTCCATCGGTTACGAATGAAACGCATACGTACCGCAATTTTTAGCAAAAAGACAAAAATTGACAGTATATTCAAACAATTCAAATTTAGAAATGCGTACACCATGTACACCAATGCGTTTGGCAGGAGTAAAGTATAGACTTTAAGACGAGTACACGTAATCATAACGAAAACGATTAGTAAAACTGACTTAAGATGGTATACGTTATTCTCTCCGTCAGTGCCAGATTTAACCATTGTGCCGCGTTAAGCACTAAACAAAATGCCGCCATTTAATTTAAATATTTTTATAGCCTAAAAAATATTATTAAAGCGTAAAATTATAGTTTTTCCCTTTATTACATAACATTTTAATGACGTAAAATAAAAATATACAGCTATTTTAGAAATGCATACAAACATTCATACGAAAAACTTGATTATAAAAATATGATATAAAATATAACGATAAAAAACATGGTAGTAAAAAATGCTTAAATAGTTTATTTATAAATTATATTCAAAATTAAATAGTTAGTGCCTAGTACACATCGGCTACAATTAGTTGCATTTATTTTAGTTCTAATTACATATAATAAAAATGTAATAAATTATTTGCCACCTTTGAGAAATGTCCGTCCTAAGCACTAGCTTACAGTGTTTACTGGGGTATACGGCACTGATCTCCGTAATAGGCACATTTGGCCAGTTAGACGAAATTGCGATCATGTAAATCAGCGGTACTAATTATATTTATCATTTACGTCCGGATCCGGAACACTGTCGATGTGTTGCACATGTTTTTCGCTAGTATGGTCGGGGCTCGTTAATTGATTCCTGTTGTGTCCGTCAAAGTGGCCGCGCGTCATCTACACGTCTCCCGTACGAACACAACGCGCTATACACGTACCGTCACTATGCCAACGGTCGGCCGCGGCGCAATCTATTAACAACAGCGGAGACACCAAGAATAATATCTCGAATACGCCGATGGTATTTTCACAACAATCACTTTGCATTGTACCGCACTAAAAACGACGATGAAACGGTCGTAATGACCAGTGAAAGGATTTTCATGCTAATAAAAACAAAGAAATGAGCAATTTTTTCTCGAGAAATATAAATGTATTTCGGTTTTTAACGATGTAACAGTTTTTTTTGTTTTTTTTATACAAATTATTTAGCTTCTTTATTGAATCTGATTCGTCGTATAATTCTAAGATATCAGATTTAATTGAATTGAAATAATTTACATAATGGATTATGGTCATTTAACTATTCGGCTTGAAGTTTTTAAAAATATTTATTTTTTACACTGGTTATAATTTTATCAAATCTAGTGCATTCAGGTCTAAGGATATTTCAAGCTCTATGAATTCCGTGGGCTAAGCATGTTAAGCGGACCATATTTGGGAATAGTATAGTTTATAAATCAGCTGCCATCACATGGTACAGCGTCGGCTGCATCCCAATTGGGTCCCGAATTTAAAATTTATTATTATTCATTATTGACTCCGGATGCCTATAATAATTTCATCGCGTCGTTAAATAATTTACCAACATTTTGAAAGTCTTTTTTGACCGACTCTGTTGATGCCCACGCTCCACAGACATACATGGCTATAGGTCTAATAAGCACTTTATTAATTCTTAGTTTTGTATTTCTGGAAAGTAATTTTGACTTAAATAATGGTACAAGCGCAAAATAGCACTTATTTCCTGCCGTTAGGTGCCTTACTTCCTAACCTATAAATTTCTTCGTGGCTATTTGCTTGTTGGTTGATATATACTCCTAGGCACTTAAAGTTTGATACCTTTTCGAAGGTAAAGTCTTCAACTACTAACGAATCTTGTACATGTTCTCTTTGTGATATTATTAAATACTTCGTTTTTTGGTCATTAACTTGTAGTCCAATATCTTTCCCCTTGCTTATTAGTTTTTCTGCCGTCCGTATTATATCTTTTTCAGTTCCTCCTATAATTACGAGTATTACGTCGTCCGCATATGCTGCTAGTGTTATTTGATGTCTTTCTCCTATGCTCAGACCCGTGGCATCAACAAGTAGTTCTCTCACAACTGACTCTAGAGCTATGTTAAATAATGTAGGGGACAACGCATCTCCCTGTCTAAGACCTGTTTCTATCGAGAAATCTTCAGATAACTCTCCGTTGAACTTAACTTTACATTTAGAATGCTGCACGCATGCCTTTACCAGTCTCACCAATTTTGCAGGGATCCCAAGTTGAGCCATTGCTTTCCAGAGCCTCTCACGATTTACGGAGTCATATGCCTGCTTGAAATCAACAAATAATAGATACACATCTATGTCGAACTCGTAGCTTTTCTATACTATTTGCTTAATCGTATGTATTTGATCAACTGTAGATTTCCCTGACATATCACCCGACTAATATTCTCCTATACTTTCCCTTGGGTATGGTTTGATTCGGTTCAATATTATGTTCTATACTATTTTGTAAGATGTGATTAGTAGGGATATTCCTCTGTAATTCTGGCACACCATAGCGTCTCCTTTCTTGTAAATCGGGCATAACACTGACACGTGCCATCTTGTAGGTATCTTTTTTTTGTTTCCATATATTATCAACTAGCTATTTTAACTGTGCATTAGTTCTTTTCCTCCTTCTTTCAGCAGTTTAGCAACAATTGCATCTTCCCCTGGCGCCTTCCTATTTTTCAACATATCTACTGCTCTTTCCACTTCTTCTATCGTAGGTTCATTTAATTTCTGTTCGACCGTGCTGAATTTTCTTTCACGTCTACCTGATAAGGTTGATTCAGTATTTAATTAAACATATTCTTGAACTCATTTGCGGCCTTTTTCATATCCGTTATTAGTAATCCCTCTCCATCCTTTATAATTGTAGATTTTGCCTTAAATCCAACCTCAATCTCATTAGCTTTTTCAAAAAATAGTTTTACATTGTTCTTGTAACTGTTTTCTATTATTTCAAGTCTAGAGTTTTCCCATGCTCTTTTCTTTCTTCTAAACATTTGTTTGGTTTCTCGTTACTTAATTGCGAGTAATCTTTTATTTTCCTCACTTGGGTCTTGAAGCATTTTTATTCGTGCAAAATCTTTTTCTATACTTGTTATTTTACATTGTTGATCAAACCATCTTTTTCTAGTTCTTCTTTCTTCAAATCTCAGAACTTCTGTGGCCGCTATTTTTACTGATTTTTCAATTTCATTCCACAGATAATCTACGTTGTTTAATCAGACAAAAGGTTTCTTTTAGTTTATTCTTGTACTGTCTTTTGATTTCCTGATTTTGCAGACCTTCTGTATTTAAACCTTCTGATAGAGGCGGCCTTTCTTCGCCATTCCACTGACAAACGTAGTTTGATTTTTGCTCTTACAATAAAATGGTCAGACATTGCGCTGCTACCATTCATGCTCCGAACATCCGTTATGCATCTCTTGATCCATTTATCTACTATAACATGATCTATTTGGTTCTTTATTTGCCCTGATGGTGATACCCAGGTTTCTTTACGTATATCTTTATGTGGAAATGTGGTGCTTCTTACTATCATATTTCTCGTCATAGCAAAATTAACTAATCTTGTACCATTATTATTTGAAACTATATATAGGCTCTCTCTCCTAATCGTCGGTCTATATATTACTTCCTATCCTATTTTTGCATTGAAATCCCCTAGTAAGATTTTTACTTTGTTGTTCGGTACCAGGTCACATACATTATCCAAATCTTCGTAAAAAATATTCTTGACCTCATCTTCTTTGTCTTCAGTTGTAGCATATTCATTAATTAGCATCACGTTAAACCATTGGCACTCCAGTTCAATGTAGCAAAATCTGTCATTTACTGCCTTTAAGTTTTTGGCTCTAGGTAATATCTTGTCATTCACAATGAAACCAACCCCTAACTGGTGTCCAGTACCACCACTATAGAATACCATCCAATTTCCAGTTTTTAAGCTTCCTTCTCCCGGCCACCTTACTTCTTGAATTGCGATAATATCCAGTCGATATCGTTCAAGTTCCAATATCGCTGTCGTCAAATGTCCAGACCTATATAACGTTCATACATTCCAAGTTCCAGTCGTAAAATCCTTAAGCTCCACATTTTTTATTATCCGAGACGTATTATTTAGTTGCTTCGTAATCAGGTTTATTTATATTGTAAGGTGGTTAACCCTACGAGAAACTCCCAGTAATGGAGGGCCCAACATAACTGGGGTCCGCGGGATCGTTAAGCCCGTTACTCTAATTAGAGTATCCTTGCGGGCAAGGGACTACTACTTCCTTTTCTAAACTTTCGTTTATTTCACCTTTTTCCACTTTAATATTTTTTTTTATCAACAGCTTCTTCTTTTATTTTGATAATTTCCTGTTCCTCCAATTCCGTCTGCTCTTTTTGTTACTCAAATTCCGTTTGTTCTTCTCCTTTCTTCTTTTCCACTGTTTCAATACTCTTTTCATTTATCTTACCCACTTCGATTAGTTGGTCAATGTGCCTTCTCCATATCACATTTTCTTTTTCTAATCTAACTATATATATCCTCTCACCTATCACTTCCTCGATTGTTCCTTTCTTTCATTCTTTTTTATTTGGGTTGGAATAATCTCTAGCATAAACTATGTCTCCTTCTTTAAAATATACTTTTCTAAATCTTTTTACATACTTATTTTTTTTTTTTTTAGCATATTAGCTTATAAAAGGTCTTACTTCTGTGACATTCTTAGGCTCTACTGCATTAAGTATAACTTTAACTTTATTTTGAATTCTTTCAATACCTTTTGATCCAATTACATGTCCTAGGTAATTTATTTTTGGTTGAAAAAAATTACATTTTTTTTTTTTTTGTTTAACCTAAACCCAGCATTTTGTAACCTATTAAACACTTCCCTGAGGTTATCTAAGTGTTCCTGTTCACTACTACCAGTTACAATTGTCATCTAAAAAGTTTTTAATACCCTTTATTCCTAACAGCACTTTTTCAATAACACTCTGAAACTTTGAACAAGCTGCTTTGGTATCGAAAGGTAATCTTTTTACTATGATATATAAATAACTTTACTTGCACTTCACACTAATAATTTTTGTGTAATTTCACATTACTCTAACTGGTTATAAGAATTCAAAAAATCTAGTTAAGAGAATGTTTTATCTCCTTGTAACGCCACAATAACTTCTTCTACTCTTGGTAATGGATGATTAATATCTACCAAATATTTATTGACCGTAGTCTTATAATCTGCACATAACCGAATAGATCCATTTGGTTTAATTACAGGTACAAGCGGAGTACCCCATTCACTGGTCTCAACTTTCTGTATTATATCTTCCCTTTCTAATCTATCCAACTCATCCTCGACTTTTTTTTTTAAAGCAAAAGGTATTTTTCTTGGTTTACAAAATATAGGTGTACGTTCATCTTAATGTACTTAATTTACTTTTAATGTCACTTTTTCATATTTATATTTACCAATTTTTTCCACAAATAATTCTTCAAATTCATTTATTAGTAACTCTAATTTATTATTCTTATTTGTGCTTTCTACTTCAATCTTTGAAATATCCATAATTGTTATTCCTAATTTTTTCATTAAATCTCTACCTACCAGAGCTCTATGTCCCTTTTTAACTACTAATAATTTACTACATAATTCTCTTTCACCATACTTCAATTTTACTCCAATTTCTCCTGTTGGTTTTATAATTGAACCATCATAAGTTCTTAGCTTTAAAATAGTAGGATTAATGTTTATATGAGGTAACTTCTCTTTCAAAATTTCTTCAGGTAATATTGAAATACTTGCACCTGAATCAATTTCCATTTCAATTGATACATTTTCAACATTAGCACTAATCATTACAGGACTTAATTCGCAGTTATATTCACTTTTAATCTCAACTTAAAACATTTCCATAACTTTATTTTTCTCAACTTCAACAAAATGATTTTTAACTGTTTTACACACTTTTGCCAAATGGCCTACTATATTACAATTCTTACATTTATATTGTTTATACTTACATTCTGAAAATTTGTGATTTTTCAGTCCACATACATAACAAGCTTTATCATAGTTTTTCTTCGAAGTCTTCTCGCCTCCCATTGTTGTTGATTGTTACTTGGGCGGACCATAACTATTTTTCTTCTTCACTCCTTTCCTGCTTCTCCCCATTAAATGCACTTCGATGTTAATTGTTTTGATTGCCACTTCTTTCTTCATTGCAATTTCCACCAGATCACTCAAATTCTTGGTCGTTTCTTCTTCGTACAAACGATCTTTGATTAGACTGTCCTTCATCCAGGTTGTGAATTTATCTTTTAGCACCGACATTAAATTTGATCTAAAACTACATTGCGCTGCAAAATTCTTCATTTTTGCATACCAATCTGTTACGGACTCATCAGCATTCTGTCTTAGATTGTAAAATTCCTCTCTTTTTCTATAAACTGATACTTATTTAGCAAACTGCCTAGTCAGTACCGAGCATAGTTTCTCGTATGTACTTTCAGCTGTCTTAATCGGATCAAAAAGATCCTTAAGCATCTTATATGCTTGTTCGCCCATGCATGTTATTAATAAAGGTACCTTACGTTCTTCCGGAATTCCGTTTGCCAAAAATAAATACTCCATCCGCTCTTGGTACACATTCCAGTCGCTATCGATTCTGAACTCAGCCAAAGTTCCCATGGTACCATACATTTGGACTTACTGTACATTAGTACTCTTATGCCCGCCTTAGGCGTTCCTAATGTTCTGGCCTTTCGTCATCATTAAATAGTTGCTTTATCCTTTTTAATCGCGATCACAGTTATTATTTTTGCCTCGTCGTCATTTTTTTATATCTTATAAAGTATTATAATAATATAATTTACTTGAATACACAACTTTATTTTATTTTATATTAGTTAAAATTAAGAGTATAGAATGCACATGGTTAGTAGCACCAATACAATATTATATCTCATAATTATTAGGTTATGTTATCATTTACAATTTCATACGACGTTATCACACATATACTATTGAATAAAGTACTTGATGTAGGTTTTAAAAAATTGCTTGAAAATTCTGTAACAAAATATTGTAATTTAATTTTTGACTTTAGGATTTTTTTAAATAAAGTCACCATAATTTTACAAATATCATATGGAAAACACAGTCTATAAAAGTGATGTATAAATAGCTGAATGTTTTTTATTAAGAAAATTTTTTTTGATTTTGTTTAACACAACCCGAAAAATCATATACTATCTTGGATTTTATATTTCTTTACTCATTTAATATAAACGGACTAAGTCCTAAGACATAGTATTACAAATATTGCGTGTGGAAAATAACAAACATAGTACAATTAATTATTCATTATTAATTAAAAATAGATTTTATATAACGAGTAAGATTTAAAGGTAAATATAGTGGTAAAACACGATTGCGTACGTTCGTTACCGGCGATACCTTTTTAAGCTACATAATTCCGTATGATTTTACCGATTTTTATCTACATGATTGCGTACAAAGTTTTAAACGTTGATACCAATTTTCATACCATCATTGGTATATACCACATGCTTATACGAGAGAACTTAAAAAAGTTAATAAATACTTTGTGTTTTATTGCTTTTATTACCTATATTTATTGTTAAAAATATTAAATATATCAGATATAACATTATTTTGTTATTTCCGTTATATTATACAATATTTTTCGAGTTTCAGTAAAAGTTATAGATTATAGTTATAGATTTAAGCATTTAAGCATTTTCAAATAATTTATTAATAATAATTTCATTCAAATAAAAACTGTCGATTTAATTTATTTATTAATTACTTTTTTTTTTATTAAGTTATCCTCATTTTATTTATTATTTTATTATTAATTTTTTTTTATGAACTACTATAGAATTATAATAGTAATAGTAATACGATGAAATTAGTAAATTTGACAACGTTGCATACAATTTCATACGCAATTGTGTTTATTTATTTTTCTTAACCATCTAAAAACGTACGTAATCGTGTTCTACTATAATATATACGAAAGAAAATATAAAACTATTAAAAATAATCAAAGACACATTTAATACCTATAACCATTAAAAGGTTAATTGAGGAATTTTAATACATAATTTTTATTTTTAAATATATTAGTAGTGTAGTACTAATATAAAGGTGGATAAAAAGGTTTAGAACCTTTAGTTTTTAGCTTTAGCTTTTGGATATTTATTTTAAAGCCAATTAAAGAAAGTATTTCAGCCAATTAAATCTAATAACAGGTTTTGAATAAACTTAGAGAGTTAAAGTATACGACGGTCAGAAAGTAGAGAAATATTAAGAACATGTAAAACATTATCTGAGCCGTGAAGAGGTTTGTGAATATTGATAAGACATAAAAAGCTATTTTATTCAGATTCTAGAATAAAATTTTGTTTTGAATATTCTAGATTGAATTTAACAAGAGAGCAAACGGGAATTTTTAAAGGAATAATATCTAAGAATGAAACACTACTACTACCCGCCAAAAAAACACTAAATGAAATAAAATGCTTAATAACAAATTTAATTTCCTAGTTAAAAGAAGGCAAATCTTTATGCTACGACCTTATATAAAATCAAATAAATTGTAAACAAATTACCAAAGAAATCTCTGGTTCTAATAATTTAAATTTTCAACTCCATGTATTGACTTTAATATTTTCCATTAATATGGAAGTTATCCACAATTATATTAATTCTAAAACCAAACAAACCCAAAAATCTAGTTGCTTCCTACAAACCAGTTAATCTATTAACAACTCTGGCAATGTTTGTTGAAAAACTTATACTTTATAGAATAAGATTTATACTACAAGCATAAAATATTATTCCAAATTCACAATTTGGATTTAAGGATTTATATTATATAATTAAAATATATTTTATTACTCAATTTAACATCAAATACATAGGTTAACAGATGTTATCATTCAAAAAAAATCAATATTGTTTCGGAGTATTTTTAGATATGTCGTAAATGAGTATGACACAAAATTTTGCTTTATTAAGTCAATTCCTATCTGAGCCATATTATCTAGTTATTATCTACCTATTATAATCCTATCTTGAAAATCTCACTTTTGTAGTTCGAAAGTTCAACTCGTTTTCATCTTATTTTCATATTCAAGCTGGAGTACCACAAAGCAGTGACCTGATACCAGACCTTTACAACATTGTTATAGCTAATGATAATTATCGTTCCTGAAAATTACCCAATTCAAACCTCCATCCACTTACAAAATCATCTATATCTAATGGAAAGCTGGTCATTCTTATGGCAAACAAAAATCAATCCTGAAAAATCTATACATGTAAATTACACTTTAAAAAATGCCGAATATACTCCATTACATTTCCAAAAAACCCGTATTCCAATCTCTTTTAAAGTATAACATCTGGGTTTTACTGTTGACAATAGATAACCTGGGGCCCCTATCTAAAAGATAAAAATAAATAATTAATTAGTCACCTATATCTCCTTCGACCAATCCTCGAATCAAGTTGTCTATACACACAAAAACATTATATACGGTATATATGCCACAGT